GGTTTAGCAAAGTATAACACTCATTGTCTCAATTATTCGCTAGATTTTTTTTACATCAGTCTTAGCCTATTTAAGTTCATTCCTATTTTACCCTATGTAAAAGTTTCCTAAAGCTTGCTGGTAAGGCTGCCCTATCTTAGCCACGGCTTCACATTGGTTGAGGTGGCGGAACATCCTGTGTTATCAAAATATGTCCAAGAACTGATCAAAATTTCTTTTCCCTTTGACAGAATGTCTTTCAGAGTTCCAAGCCTCGGAAAGGAACCAAGCCTTTTGGAAAAGCCTCGTTTCCAAAAGTTTTGTATGGCGGCAGAAGAGAGATGATGCCACAAAGAATGATGATATTAAAATATAGGAGAAACAAGGCAGGAAGGCACAAAACAGGTTGCGTTAGTCTCAGACACAGAAAGAAAGTATATAGAACGTCCAACACATTGGTCGAGCGTTGCCTTACAAGGACTTCACAAATTTCATTCGAGTCTCATTTGTTCACCTCGTACGTAAACGACGATAAATTAATCCCAAAAGCGCTTTCTAAGTTTCCCGATTCCTCTCCCATTACTTTCACGATTGGAAAATTGGAGAAAGACAGAGCTGTTTCACTTGCCACGGGGTACTCCGGGTAATCCTCGGTGGGGGTGTGCCGCCTAGTTCTCCAAATCCTGTCCCCATTTCAGCCCAAGAAGTGTCATTTTCCACACCCTTTTTCAGACCTGACCTCTAAAATCCACACCCGCTTTCAGACCTGACGTTTAGGCAGAAATTATGTCAGAATTACAGTCAACCGGCCCTCTATAGCAGACACTGTAGCTGACACTCAAATAAGTGTCCTCATTAGCGACAGTCCGTAATAGTGGGAGTTTATTCAAGTCAAACGTCTGTAATTTGTTTCTGCCAGGGAATTTAGCTGCTGTCCGTATTATCGAGGTGTTCGCAAGGCGAGAGTTGACTATACCTAAATGGCTTATACAAGGAAGTACCCCTCCCCCCCCGGGTTTCGCTTAAGATCCCTTGCCCTTACAAGTATACCATACAGAAGTTACTTTTTTGTAAGCGATCTAATCACATTTTTCTACACTGGCTCCAGAGGTCCGTTCTCAGGTGAGAAAAAAATCCTCTGGCACCCAGGGTAACATTTTTCATTAATTTGATTTATATTGGAAACCTTGCCAGAAACTCTTTCTCTCTCTTTGACCGGAATAAGACTCAGCCCCAAACAAGCAAGACGAGTGAACAACGGCTAGCTTATCACTAGCTGAACGATGGATGATTACAGAAATTCGCCGACAATCAGATTCTGTGCTGACTTATTCCCTTCTCACAGATGTCCTTCCGTTATAAAAGTTTCAAATAAGACTAGAATGCGCTAGCGTGAATCGATCAAACGTCCTTTTAATTTCTAAGGCTTACTTTCCGGCAAATAAAATGAACTGAATGTAAAAAGTGAAAGAGAAATAGCAAAAAATTCAACTTCTAATTAAATCTTTTCTTATGGTTTAGAATAAATTATTCTCGAAACTGAGAATGTTTTGATCAAAGCTGTGTAAATCGAGATGAAACAGTGCATGAAACCTTGCGTTTCCTGTATTTATCTCGCCTATTGTATGGAGTACGTTTGAAAATCTTCATTATGAATCGGTATATTTCAAAGAGCTAAACAACGAGCAAGAATACTATTGACCGACAATATACAGAACGGAAGCAACTGTAGTGTCAACTATTACTAGTTTTAATTAGTTTTGACGGCCTAAATACTTCGCAGAAAATGATCCTGACACCGCGTACCTTTACTACGCTACCCAATGAGGCTGGATGATGTGTCCATCCAGTTAATTGAGGTCAAGAGAGGTTTTACTGTATTTACAAGCTTACCCCTTAAGGTTAGATTAATGAGTTTATTATCCGCGAGTAGTTTTGGATGTGAGGTACCGGTAGTTATCAAAATTACTACCAGCTCAGTTTTTTAATGTAAATGTCTTCAAAGCAATTTTATCCATTCAAAGATTTTTTAATCTGACCGAATACAGAGAACTTATCGTAGGAATTATTTGCTCATTAGGTATGCAAGAATGGAGATTTGAATTTGATACTGGTTGCAGCAACGACTAACGGATTCACTTTTCAAATAATCGATTCATTAATGATATCTATGGGGGTACGCTTGACCTGGCTTGACTGTAACTTGAGAATGACCTTGAAATAGCCTGAGAAAACAGCTGACAATTGGCGACGCTAACACTTGTTTCCCCGCCAAATGACGTCTGACAAACGAGCGCAAAAATTCTATACTGACGACGCGTCACTACCCAGATCTGGGTAAGGCTTCTGATTGGTCGTGCCGCGTGGGAAATTTGATTCAACCAATCAGAAGCACTACCCAGATCTGGGAAGTGACGCGTCATCAGCTATGGAATTTCTACGCTCGTTTCTTCGGCTGTCGGCTGTTTTCACAGGCTTGCCTTGAAACAGCCAAAAAGTCATAAGTTTTATGATTTCACTTATAGCACAATAGAACCTCGATTTAACGAAGTGCCAAGGTACCTGGGAAATTTGTTCGTTACATCGAGGGCTCGGTTCGTTTTATATCGAACACCTCCATTTAACGAATTTTATGGAAAACTACTAAAATGTTCGTTATATCGAGGTATAGTTAATAATCGAATTTACAAAACCCAGCATTTCCGGATCTGAATACATAGCTACGGCACTAGAGACTCAAGAACAGGCCAACAGAACTCCTTAAAACTACTGTACACATAAATTTTTTCCTTTTTGTTCTGTTTGGATTTCATCTTTTATCACACGCTGACATTCATTCGTTATATCCAGGTATATTTTGCATTTGGGCTTGTGCAATAGTGTTCGTTATAACAAGGATTTCGTTACAAGGTTCTGTTCCATACACTTTACTCAGTGTAATATTGAGCTGAAGAAAATCCTTCGTTATACCGAGGACTTCGTTATATAGAGGTTCGTTTAATCGACGTCCCACTGTAAAATCCTGCACTGGAAACGTCCCATTTTCTCTTAAAGAAATCTTTTATCTTACCTGCTGCAGATTTTCCTCTGATGTTGGTAATGACGTTTTATCTTTAGATTCGGCGATTCCTTCCTCTTCCTGCCACAAACCACACAGTCAAACTATTTACCATCCATTTCGTATAATTTTTTAAAACCTTTTTATTATTATAGTGGTGAAATGCTTCAAAGAATAGATCTTTTTCTATTTCTACAAAATGTGATATCTCACCTGTTCTTGAGGGTCGTCGGATCCAGCGGACGATCCTACATCTTCAAGTTTGAGGTTCCCTTTCTCGTCCTGCCTCAAAATAAATCATGAAACGACATTCAACGGCACAAAACTTCGAAATTAAATTTCAAGACAAGGGTTGAGGCCTAATTATCTATCTTTTACAACAATTTTCCACGAAGGCATTCCCTCGCAACTCCTGTCACAAATCAGAAAACGACACCGCATTTAATTTTTAATGTTAAGTAACAAACACGTCAGAAAGTCATCACCACCATTTAACAAACGGAGATGCCGTTTACCAGCCTCTCGAAAGTAGAAACCTAATTAACTAATTCTATTTTCAGCGAGGATCTTTCTTAAACGCTGTTTAATGTCGTAGGAAGGCTTTACCTCAACAGTGGACAATTGTTCTAACTCAGGCAAGACTTGGGACTCGGCAATCTGGTTTTCCATCTCCTATGACGTGAAAAAATAAAAGATTCGTCATCTTTGTACTGCCATTGAAGAGCATGCAATGTCAAGATATTTTGGAATTATTTTAAAACCCTAAACACACATTTCCCTGCCAGCAGAGGCCTCTTTTCCTCCCGCCCGCCGAATACCATGGAAGAGACCTTTTCTAGCAGGAAGAACACACATTAGAAGGAAAGAAAACCCTCAAATAATGCTTCAGTTCTTTTTAACCGGACTTTACGCCAGTACTTCTAATAATAAGTGTCTATGTCTTTGGCTTTCGATGCGGGCCAGGATAGAAACGGATTGCAACTTGAATAAAACTGAGCAAACTTTTTGAAGTTTAACTCCTGTGTGCCGTCACGTGATTGAACATTACATGAATCGACATTTTTCTGTTTTGAGATTTCGGCCTGCCATTGTTAGACAGTTTAGACATTAGTCCGGTTTAGCAAAGTACAATAGTCATTGTGTCAGTTATTCGCCAGATTTTTTTACATCCGTCTTAGGCTATGTAAGTTCTTCCCTTTTTTTACCCTATGTAAAACTTTCCTAAAGCTTGCTGGTAAAGCTGCCCTATCTTAGCCACGGCTTTATATCGGTTGAGGTAGCGGAACATCCGTTGTTATCAACATATGTCCAAAAACCGATCAAAATTTCTTTTCCCTTTGACAGAATGTCTTTTAGAGTTCCAAGCATCACAAAAATGACTGAAAACACTCAGTTAAAATTTCAACTTAGCTCTGACCAAAAAATGTGGAACTTACCATGACATACCACCTTCAAATATCGACAGTAAGTTATCCGATACGATATTAAGGATGTAACTAAGCGTGAATATTAATACTGGACGTACTGTCTTGTTGTTTCCTAAGTATATAATGCGCGCTATTTACAATTTTAACCACGCCCATGGTTGTACAGTATTATACAACTTATTTTACTCATGTACTTAACTTGCGATAGACCAATGCTCCATTCACTCAAAGCTTACACAGGTTTAAAAGGTGTTCAGTTAAACACGGTTTAAATTTGTTTTCTTCATAAAAGCTTTTCTCGATTGCAAATTTAGTGTAATTACGTAATACGTAAAAGTTTATTTGAATTTTGTGTAAAAGCCTGTGTTTCAGTTTACTTTTGCTGTTTTTAATTTTTCAAAATCTAGCTTATTTGAACATGTTTAGTTGGCGTAAATGGTGAATAAGCAATGGACAACGCCCCTTCCTTTTTACAACCTCCTTCTCCTGATAATTATTGCACAGTCCCGGCTCAAACAAAACCTTTATAAAAAATATCAGCAACCAACCTGTTCTTGATTCTCCTCTGATTCATATAATGCCTTTCCATCTTCAGATTCAATGACTTCTCCCTCGTTCTGGCAAAATCATACATTTTATGACACTAAACACCATGCATCTTCTATATGTAACTGTAAGCCCCCTAGCGTACTTATTTTAGAAAGAACAGACATTAGAATGAAAGAAAACCCTGAAATAACGGTTCAGTTCTATTTCAAATGACTTTACGTACTACTATAGCTCCACTACAAGTGTAAGACTTTGGCTATTGATGGCCAGGATGCAAACGGATTGCAACTTGAAAAATTTGCGCCATCTTTTTCAACTTTAACTCCTGTGTGCCGTCACGTGATTGAACACATGAACAATCATTTATATGTTTCGTGATTTCCGCCTGCCGTTGTAAGACATTTTAGAGGCAGCATCTGCCACAGATCTTGTATGATTGTAATATGAATGACTTATTTAATATAAACAAAAGGGGTGAGCTAATTACAAGGTGCGAACCCTTATATTAGTGACTGGACTTGCTGCAAAACACTGTAACCATCCAAACTACCAGATGGAGAGTTATCGATCACTTCATCGGAGTTACGAGAACAAAACGAACTCCTTTTTTGATCTACCAATTGTTAAACAAAACTCTTTTTCTAAACGCATTAGGTCTACTTGGCACAAAATGTAAGTGATATCTTCCCTAAGCAGCTTTTAAAAAAAGGAATCCTTTTTTTTTCCAAGGCAAAAGTCACTTTTGGCTAGCCTGTTCCAAGCATTCAGATAGTGGGGAAACAGGCTACTTTTGGCCTAAAATCAACTGAGCGCGACCTGCGAGAGAACAGCAGGCAATTTTTATCTGTAGTTTATTTTTAACCGAACCCGAAATCAATTTAGTTCAAGGGAAATAAAAACGTAGATGAAACAGAACAAAGATAAACTAAATAAACTTAAACAAAAGAAATGGATGACTAACTGCTTAAGTTCCATCTCTGATTCAGATGATGAATCAGAAATGAGATCAGGCGATTCAAGTGAAAGCAAGATTTTCCTTAAAATAGCCTGCAACAATAAAATAAAACTATTCTTAATGCACGGGTTCTCAATTTAAAACCTTTTAACGTAACTGCCAAGATTAACTACCGCCAACTCGAAAATCTTCAGTAAAGGACGCTAATTAACGAAGGCTCCAAAGCGTGTTTGGTTATCTCTGACGGACAGAAAAATAAAACTAAATAAAGTAAATAATGCATTAGTCAACTGACCCCGGCCCCGCGACCACAGCGGCATAGCGGGGATTTAACGCGGCCAATGCCGGGATTTAACGCACATTTAACACGTTGGCCCTAGTGGCAGGGGAATTAACAAAATACCTGTTTTACCCATGTCATGAGCGGGAATTAAACAGTAATAGGAATTTTTGGAAGCGGGCATAGAAGCGGGGATTTAACATGAGTGACTAAAGGAAAAGCCTCGTTTCCCAAAGTTTTGTATGGCGGCAGAAGAGAGATGATGCCGCAGAGAATGGTAATATTAAAACATAGGAGAAACAGGGCAGGAAGGCACAAAACAGGTTGCCCTAGTCTCAGACACAGAAAGAAAATGTATAGAACGTCCTACACATTGGTCGAGCGTTGCCTTTAATGACTTCACAAATCTCATTTGAGTCTCATTTGTTCACCTCGTACGTAAACGACGATAAATTAATCCCAAAAGCGCTTTCTAAGTTTCCCGATTCCTCTCCCATTACTTTCACGATTAGAAAATTGGAGACAGACAGAGCTGTTTCGCTTGCCAAGGGGTACTCCGGGTAATTCTCGGTGGGGGTGTACCGCCTAGTTCTCCAAATCCTGACCCTACTTCAGACCAAAAAGTATCATCTTCCACACCCTAAAATCCACACCCGTTTTCAGAGCTAACATTTAGGCAGAAATTATGTCAGAATTACAGTCAACCGGCCCTTTATAGCGGACACTGTAGGGACCTCAAATTAGTGTCCTCGTTAACGACAGTCCTTAATAGCGGGAGTTTACTCAAGTCAAACTTCTGTAATTTGTTTTGGCCGGGAAACTTAGCTGCTGTCCGTATTATCGGGGTGTCCGCAAAGCGAGAGTTGACTATACCTATATGGCTTATATAAGGAAGTACCCCCCCCTCCCCCGGTTTCGCTTAAGATCCCATGCCCTTACAAGTATACCATACAGACAGTTACCTTTTTGTAAGCGATCTAACCACATTTTTCTACACTGGCTCCAGAGGTCCGTTCTCAGGAATTAGGTAAGAAAAAAAATCCTCTGGCACCCAGGGTAACATTTTTCATGAATTTAAAGGAGCGCAATCGAGAGTTTCAATTAACAGGTCCGATGGTTTGAATTTTAAGAAATACAGAATACCAGATCGGACAGAACGTTTGAAATCGAGCCTAGAACTACACTTTACTAATTCCCTGCTATACGGGGCTTTTAACAAACTACTTGGCCCGGGGAGCGGGAAAATTAGCGGTGTTTTAACACCAATCCAATGTTAAATTTCCCGCTAAGTCCCGGGGGTCGGGGAGCCGGAGTTTCAAATGACTGATGCATAAACTTAAAGAAAGGAAGCTGGTGACGAAACCTGTTCTGTTTTTAGATGATGAATAAGCTTATTAATTTAACTGTAACCCACAGATAAGAACTTGCCTGATCTCGTTTGGCCAACCTGGTTCTTATATTGTTGGGTAATAAAGAAGCAAATTGCTACCAGCAGGTTATTAAGCCACTAGGTTCTTACACGCAGGTTTTTACTGTATCAAAAACTAACTCAGTATCACCAACTCGGAAATCCTCCGCAATGGAGACTTACAAATGAAGGCTCCTGAGCGTATTTGATTATCTCTGATGGACAGAAAAATACAACTGTTCACACAAACACTAAATTACTTACTCTTACTAAATATTTAATAAATAAACTTTCACAAAAATAGGTGAGTGATGACTAACCTGCTCCTCCTCATGCGCTGATTGAGGTAATGAATCAAGAAAGAGGTGAGGGTACTCACTCTTCCAGTAGTTCTCTGATGGCCATTCATGTTCAGGTTCGGGGTTTTCTTTATAATCCTTCAACAAAATACAAAAAAATACTTAAAACCACCCATCTCCCTTTAATAAAGCGTGGACGTGTACACATTTCAAAACCTTCATTTAAGAACAATGGAATTACAGAACAGAGACAAAGGATATTTTAAGTGAGCAACGAAAAAAAAGTTTGACAAACACTTTGACAAGATGTACTAAATTCAAAACAGGCGGCACGTGCCGACTGTGTAGATCATTAAATCAATACTTGGCCTAATAAGAAGTACAGTGTCTGATGGGCAAATTTAGCCGGGAACTGAGTTCTGCTAAAGGGGTGAGATAATTACAAGGTGTGAAACCCCTCTGCTAGTGACTGAACTTGCTGCAATACACTGCAACCATCCGAACTACCAGAGAGTTATCGATCACTTCATCGGAATTTACGAGAACAAAAACGAACTCGTTTTTTAAATCTTAGACAAGGTGTTTGTTTCTAATTTCTTAGTTGATCTACCAACTGTTAAACAAAATTTTTTCGAAAGCCAATTGGTCTCCTTGGCACAAAATGTCAGTAGGAAAAGTAAGCGATATCTTCCCTAAACAGCTTCCAAGGCAAAAGTCATGTTTGGCCAGCCTGTTCCAAGCATTCAGATAGTGGGGAGTGGATCGGAGTGGAGCAAAGTGAAAAGGAAGGGCAGTTTTCGTTTCTCACCGACTCCGGTTCTCTTTACGGGCTGTTTCGAGCGTGTTTGATTATCTCTGACGGACAGAAAAATTGAACTGTTCAGACAAACACTGAAAGTCTTACTAAACATTAAATAAATAAACTTTCACAAAAACTTTCAGTGATGTCTAACCTGCTCCTGTTCATGCGCTGATTCAGGTGATGAATCAGGAAAGAGACGAGGGTAGAGAATTCTCCAGAAGTCCTCTGATGGCCATTCATGTTCAGGTTTGGGGTTTCCTTTATTATCCTGCAACAAAATACAAAACAATACTTAAAACCACCCATCCACTTTTAGTAACGTGTGGACGTGTGCACATTTCAAAACCTTCATTTTAAGTACAACGTGAGTACAGTGACAAACGAAAGACAATTGTTTTTTGACAAGAACTTTGACAAGATGTACTGAGTTCAAAACAAGCCTCGCGTACCAAAAGCAAAGATCAACAGTCAAAACTTGGCCTAATAAAAAGTACAGTGTTTAGACAAAAACCAGCCTGAAGCTGTGTTCTGCTTAAGGTGTGAGCTTATTATAAAGTAGGAAACCCTTAGTACATGGACTTATTGCAAAACTCTGTAAACATGACCAACCAAACCAGATCGCTTTATCGCGAAGAAACTGACCTGATCTGTTTTAAGATTCATACACAGGTTCGGCTGATTCCAATTTATCCTCGGCCCAACCGTGCGGCATACAACAAAAGAATTCTTTTCGGTCTGGTTGGAACGAAATGTCAATAGGTGACACCAGCGCGGCTTTTTGCTAAACAGCTTTAAAAAGCGTCTTCTTTTTCAAGAGAACAAATATAAGTGGCTTTTGGCTACCATGTTCTAGGCGTTCAGATAGTGGGGAGCGGCGGTAAGATGACCGTATAAAAAACAAAGCAGAAGAAAGGGACAGGGGCTCCCTAAATACATTATAAATTCCTCGCTGTTTTGTTTCCTCGTTTCTCCACACTCGCTGAACGCCTGAAACAGGCTACTTGTGGTCTATAAATGTCTGAGTGCGTCTCAAGAGAGAATAGACAGCTATAGTCCTAGACTTTCTCAAAGTCGTTCGCTTGGTTTTCTGGTCTGGTGTGGTGTTTCGCTCGCTCGCGCTTCGCGCTCGTACGATCGCGCTTCGCGCTCACAGTCGCGCTACGCGCTCAAAAGCTCGACTTGTGAGCAAGTCTACTATAGTTCTGCCGTTTATTCCTAACAGAAACGGCGATCCATGGGCCATCGATATAATTTCGGAAATATAATCATTCACTTCAAAATAATAAACGAATAAGCTCTCTCTAATAAAAATTTGACCTGCTGTGAATGAATGAACTGAAAAATCCCTAAACAAGGAAAAATGCTTTCTGCCCTATAAATCATGGTCAAAAATTATACGAGCACAAGGTTTACGTGTAAACAACAACTAACAAGATATATTTTTAAGCGTTTTTACGGTTATTTGCTGACAGGGGTGTAGCCAGCCCATAGATCTGTAAGACGGGACTACAAATTTTTGGTTTGATCACTCTACTGCTTGTAATAAATTATGCGTTGTTGGGGTGAACTAAAAAGCTTAAGACCTCAAAGTGTTGGTGAGGTCAGTGCGTACTAGTCATGCGTGCAATTTTCAGGATATGTGGAAATGAAAGTCAGCCCGGCCTACAACTAGTCGAAATGCTGGCTACGCCCCTGGCTGAGATAATGTTTTCCCCTTGTATAAAAGCGAAGATTTTGACTTCTCGGCGGGATTGGTAAGACAAACGTTCTTTTTATCAAGGCGCACGTACGAGAATCTTGCATGCAAAATAGCAGAATCAAAATCAAAGTAATAAAATGCTTTTTATTTTCTCTCGAAAATCTTCTGCGTTACAAAACTCGCAGATCACAGTGTATTTTTTGCGGGCGGGAATTTTGTTACGTAATAAAACGAAAGGCGGGAAAATGTCATCACGTGAAAAATCATCCGAGGAATTGTTTAGCCTGAAATTCATCCGATTGCTTCGAGTCGTTTTCGCCTCTCTCTCACTTACTGAGGGAGTAATAACGACTCGAAGTAATCGGATGAAATTCAGGCTAGGAATTGTTCATCCGAGGTAGATTTAACCAATCAGTTGCCGCACGTCACTATGCTTTGAATGACATCGTTTGTTGTTTTTTTGTAGTTTGTTCAGTTCGCTCTTCAACGGCAAACTGTTCAGGATGAACTCAAAATTTAATAAGAAAACATCAAGGAAATGTTACATAAGACAGGGATTTATCTCTTTTTACTCAGGAATATGCTAAGGAGTTGTTCGAAGCTCAAGGAAACATCATTTATACGGATATTTCACGAAAGCCCAAAGCTCCGCAGGATTTGACTTGTATGGCGAGTGTTCTGGGAAAATTGAAAACAATCTTGTGCTATTTACGCGATGAAAATCATGCAATGGACACTTATGCTAGACAGTGGAGAACAGAGAAGTGTTTACCTGTAAGGAAAATTTTTTTGGTGTTGCTTTCAACCGTTGTCTTGAAGATACAATTTTTTTGTGCGGGTTGTTATTTCAAATACCAACGCTTCACCGAACTGCAAGGACCAGTATTTACCAAAGAAACGCTCAAGAACTAACAAAAGAACAGCTATAACAAAGACTTGTCTGTTTTCTGGACTTTCAAAAGAACTTCACTTGACTTAAACTGTTTTTATAGGAGCCCTGGACGATAAATGTGAAACTGTGAGTTCACTGTGTTTCCTCTTTGCTCATTTGTTTGAATTGAACATGAACTGAACATCTTTCATTTGCTTTTATGATTCTTGTTTGTTACTTTATGAAGAGGTATGAATTAAAATTGATTGAGAAATTAATACTGTGGAAATTATGTGCTTTTGTTTTGCTAAAAGTTCTTGTTTTCACCCAATAATATCATCTTATGGCTGCTTGAAGATAAGAAATTTCTCATCTTGTGTTCAACTCCATGTTTTAATATCAGCTAAAGTTACTTGTTCTTAACGTTCTCAGTTAAAACATTTTATGGAGTTAGTTTAATCAGTTGAAAGAAATGAATTTGAAATGATTCTTTGAATCTGCTAAAGTTTGCGATTTGATTTCAAAAGCAAATCTCGTGTTTTGTCGAGTATAAAAATGACAAAGAAAGGAAAATGGCGAAAGGCAAGAGCTGAGTAGAAATAAACTGTAAACAAAGAATAAAGAAACAAATTGCGATAAAATTGGAAAACTTACGTGGTAGTCTGACCACAGTTCAATGATGTTTCCGTGCTGCTTGATGGCTGATGTGAGATTCATCACCTGCTGTGGAGTCATCTTCACATCTTCAAGTTTCAGTTCCTCCAGGTGAGGAGCGCAGCTGAGATGTTTTATCAAGCTGTCGACTCCTGCACCCAGAAGAGGATTCCATGACATGTCGAGCAACTTCAAGTTTGGAAGATCTTGTTTAAATACTCTGCTTATGAACTCCACAGCAGGTGATGAAGTTAAATTGATAGCACGGAGTATTAATCTCTCCAGTTTGTGTATTGTTGGGATGCTCCTCAGTAGAGACTCTGTTACCTCAGCATCAAACACTTCACCGTATAGTTCACCCCAAACCGATATCACGTGTGGAGCGGTGATAAACGGCATCATCTCAATCAGCTGTTCCACTTCTGACCTGTTCACCCACTCAGCATCAATCCTCCAAACCCTGGAGAGACCATGACGCTTTGAACAACAGCTGCTGCTGCTCTCTTCACTTGACTCATCACCATTCATGTTTGTCTTCTTTGTTGTCTCTTCTAAACTAACTAACGTCTTTACCATTTTAAAAGGAAGAGAAGAAATGCCATGATATGTACGTTTTACAATTTGAGTAAAATAAAGGTGAGTGTTGTTTTCTTCTTTCATTAAAAAAAACTCGTCAACACTACGCCATGGAAATACATTCAAAAATTCTGATGCTTTTTGTTCTCCTGTTCTACTAACTATAACAGCGTTTAATTGCTGTGCTAAAGCTATTAAATTATTATAACTTTGCTCTGTATACTGGTTGCTATAAGAGAAAAATATGTACATAAGTGAAGCGGTAGTTTTAACAAAATTTTCCTTTGCTGCAATATTCAGCTGGTCAGGATTTAATATGAACAAAACACCTCCTAGATTAGAAAGAAAAGTGGGCAAAAGTTCTGATCTCGTGTCTGCTGAGCAGTAGAAGAATAACTGTGTACATAGAGTTAAAAGATTTTTTTGTGTTTCTGACAAATCTTCGACTGACGGTGCTTGGTTGTCGAAGCTGTACTCTGAGTCTTCCTTCGCCGCCATTTCCAACAGATGAACCAAGATCTCGCGCGCGGCTTCTTCGGACATTTCAGCAGCAAATTTAAAAACCTCATTCAACTTGAAGATCTTTTCAATTGAGTCGACTTTGAAAAGGGAAGTGTTTTTACTTTCTTGAGATAACAGTTTTTCTTTTAGAAATAAAGAAGCCAAAAACTCCTGCATGGATTTATGAATGAAGTGCACGGCTTTGCACGGGTTAAGAGCGGACATGTTTAGCAGCTGAAACAACCCAGCCTCGATCAGTTTCTCAGCCAAAACATGATCCGGCAGTTTACTGACAGGAAAAGAAAGTAAATCTTGTAGAAGTGCGTCAAAGGCTAGTTCTCCTATTTTACAGAGTTCTTGAATGTGGTCGTCAACTTTTTCCGCCGGCTTTTTTTGTTTTTCAGACATATGATTAAACATAGTCTGCAGAAACTGAAAGTACACCTTCACCCGTGATGAAGGTAGTCCTTCACGATCCTTTTCTTTCCAAACCAACAACAACATTAAAAGCAAAATAGGTATTTTTGCTACATCTTCCAGGTCTTGTTGCTCTAAGTATCGAAAAAATTCTTTCACATCTTGATCATCTTTCAAGAATCTACGGGCGAACTCTTCTTGTCGCTCACGGTCAAAACCGTCGATCTCAAATTGAGCATCGCTGGAACGTTTCAATCCCTCTCCTTTCATGTCTCTAGACGTTATAATAACACAACAATTCCTCAACTGCTTTCTCTCCCAGATTTGAAGAACAGGTGATTGGCTTGCTGCGCTGTGTACGTATTCATCGTAGCCGTCCAAAATGAGCAACACGTTTTCTTGGTGGCGACGAACGTAATCGTACAGGTTCTCAGTGGAAACTGGGCCATCACGCGCGAGAAGATTAGCATCGTTCAGAATGGCCGGGACATCATTGAGGTTGCAAACATCGCGTAATTTGACCAAAAGTACGAGATCAAATCTTCCTATTTTTCCTTTAAATCTATGCTGGGACCAATCGAATGTAGCTTTCTGCGTAAAAACGGTCTTGCCGATACCTGGTCGTCCGTGAACCAAAATGCGCTTGAGCGTACGATGAAGTCTTCCACCGTCAAAAATGTTGGTGTAGTGTTTAAGTTCCTTCTGTGTTACTCCGCTGGGCTTCTTCTCATCCATAAGCCAAGACAACTGGGTGTAAATTTCATCGATATGAACGGCAGAGCTTTGGTCCCACGGAACGATTTTGACTTTGCTGTTGATTTCATAAATTGATCGCAGCTGTTTCTGGCACTCCTCTAGGCAACGAGAATCTGTTGAGAAAAAATTTTACGTTCCTTTTTTTAAAGAATTGTTCGTTAATAACTTGACATCTTAATAGGCGAGGAAAGTTAATTGGGGGTTGTTGACGCACAAAATATGATAGGTCCTCATTTATATAAACTGATTAGATCACCAAATATAAATCAAATTTCCATATTTAAAAACACTATCTCCTCAACTCATGATACACCAACAGAAATGAAAGCAACAGTGCATGTAGATATAAAGGCTCTAAAACACCAGAATATAGTGTAGGAATATAAACACTATGGTCAAACGTAGAAGGAATGCTCTTTATTATATAGACACGAGTGTTTTACTGGAAAATATACCACTCGTAAAATTCATAAAAACTACATCCAGGACCCGAGTGGTTTATTTTCCATAATCTCACACGTGAGTTTATCGATGACGCAATTTCGGTAATTTCCCTCTATCATTTTATCGATGTCTTTTTGTCTATATAATAAAAAGAACATTACACGGCGGCTTGATGATATGAATTTTATTTTGTCTTGCCACTCGAAAATAAAATTCATATCTTCGCGCCACCGTGTAATATCCTCTATTTATTAATTCATTTATCTATTTTATTTTCTTCTTTTTCACCTGCTTACACACTGACTTTAATATGGATGGGGAGCTAACTAGAAAATCTAACAGCTTATTTAGCTTCCAAGCTCGCACTTGTTGTTTCTCTTATATTATAAAGTTATAATCTAGTACAAATTTCAGTTATCTAATGTTTAAAAAGTAATTTCACTGTGAGCTAAATAAAGAATTATTAATTATTACAATTACACGAATATGAATATGGCGGGATGGGCAACCTTGGCCGAGTAAAATTTATATGTAAATATCTTTGAAGACTGCAGCAGTAAAGCAAGTGTAAAGGGGTGTTACCCCACAAAGAGAGGTTCAGGGAGGACAAGCCCATAGAGGGGTACCTCTCCAAAGCTGTTAGTGATGTTTGTGGTTGGGTGCTAAAAATAATTCTTATTTTGTGTAACTGACCTCGAGGATTAACGCAAGGAAAAAAAATTCCTTAGCAAAATTCTAACAAAAAGATTGTATGAGAGAAAGAATTTGACGCTTGAAGTATCACATCATACTTCTTCTTTGCTACTTATTTTTGAAATAAATATAAACAACTGCTACAATAAAGATCATTTTGTATTGCAATATAAAAAACGATAAAAGTCATTTTCATATTAAGATAAGCATTTTTAATCTACTGTATGTCTGGTACCATTTCTGCTTTATTGGACATAATAGTACCTGGTAACTCCTCCTTATTGGCCGCAGAGCTAGAGGGCTGTTTCCTTGCGGACGGGTCTGTGAGTTAAACAAAATAGAATAAAAATTGAAGTAAGACATTTAAAACAACAGTTATTCAAAAGTATTTGGGAAAAATGTTTATCAATCTGTCAGTTTTTTTATCACTCACATTTTAGGTTCTGAGTCTGAATAATAAAGTTTCAATGACAAAAAGGATTGAGCAGCTTGTCTTGGGACTGAAAGCTTACATCTTAGGTTTTACTTAATTGTGGGTGGTACTGACATTTTAATTCACTTAAGGATGCCTGGTTGCAGTGTGCACAGTTTTAGACAATAAATGTATCTTTTAAACTTGGTTACGCAAGATTTCTCCTGCACATTGAGTTGACTCTGAAAGGCATCTAGTAAGTAGTTGCAGTTCAAAAACATTTTCAAAACGGGAAAGAAGCCCCCCAAATATTTACTGGACCTTTCAAAACCATAGCTATCAACCAAACAGAGGGTAGAGTTCTAGGATGAACTAAAACCAGAAAATAAAGCCAGCAGTGTAGAGAGCTTACTGCTTAGCATTCAGGGCTGTCACTATGGTTTCAAGTTGCCGAGCGGGGGAAATAGAACATCCTGGAAATTCTTTTGGCCCTATTTTCCTTTAATTTGTATGAAAGTAACCAGGGGTAGCCAGTAGGAATCTATGCCTCTCTGCCCTTAGTGTTCTCAGGGCGTAGGCGGGAGGGAGGGGGAGATACTACCCTAATAAACAACTGTGGTGCTGGTCAAATAAAAAATTCAAAAGTATCACTAAAAGGTACAAAAATCCTGCTTTGTAGGCATGTAAGACTTTCATTTCAAGGGGGAGTCTGGTTAAAAGCATTATTTTTCGTTGATTTTCACTCTTTTTCTTAAATATCTAGCCAAGATTTTGTTCAATTCAAAAATGACTCAATTCAGTCGCAGTCATTAATAATTATTTAAGAATTTTTGGATGATTTTTCGAATGTTTTTAATGTATAAAAATTAGGGGGGGGGGAGATGTTTAAAATTTTGAAAAAATGGGAAAACATTGGAATTGGGGGTTGTTAAAAATTAAAATATGAAGTGAATAATAATTGGTAGATGATTACCAGATAGTCCACCACCACTGGTTTATTGATTCTACCCTATTCTACCCCCATATATTTCCTTCCCAAATCAACATTATTTCCCCCAAATTTTAACCAGTCTCCCCCCTTAAGCTCTATAAGCGATACCAAAAGGAGGAGGAGATAGTCCCCTTTAAAAATAGCAGAACTGCTTTACAAAAAATAAAAAATTTAAGATAACAGGGGCCCTTGTCAAAAAAAAAAAAAAAAAATCATAATAAAACCAAAAAAAAACAAAAGAGGGAAGCAAAATATTACTTTAAAAAAAAAAAAAAAAAAAAAAAAAACCCCGGAAACCACCAAAAAAAAAAGACACACCCCTATAAAATTTAAATTAAAAAAAAAAAAAAAAAAAAAAATTTTCTTTTTTTTATTTTTTATTTTTATTTTTTATTTTTTTTATTTTTTTTTATAATTTTTTAAATTTTTTTAAATTTTTTTTTTTTTTCTAATTTTTCAAAAAAAATATCCTGGATATTTTGTTAGAAAGCCTTTTTTTACTTGGTTTTTTTTTGCAAAAAAACGAAANAGACTTTAGGTCCCTAAGTATGCACTTTGCGAGTACCAACCCACAAATCTTACTGCGTAAAATAGTATGATGAGCAGCCAGTCAATTTTATCAGGAAACATCTCTCTCATGTCCACCTGACCTATTTCTTTGTAACCTTTTTCTCATAATTCTCTTTTACCTATTTTATAGTTTCCAGCAGTTGTGAGTTGACCAAAAAAATGTTGAACTCCATCCTTTTTCAAGTTTATTATAACAGATTAATTAACAAGGTTTGAAAGTGAGTACTTTCAATCAACCTCAGTACTTAACCAAAAACACTGACCTTCTGTACACAGGTAAGGATTTAATTATCACATGGTTTAATAAAGGAGCATGACACCTACCTTCATAATGAGGCCATTGTTCAAACACAAATGGATCCTTCAACATGTTGGACACAAGAGAAGCTGCCATTATGCATGCATGACTCTCCCAAGAATTTTCTGCAGGGTTGTTACCACCGGCAAAGTGAGAAATACCTTTTACAATCACCCATTCAATCTTAAGATCATGTGCTGCAACAAAAAGGCCTGGAAAAAAACAAAAAATGATTAATCATAATTCAAGATGCAAAAAGATCCACCAGTGAGCATCACAACCAGGGTTGATCAAGATGTGACAACATAAACAATAATTATCATTTACTGTGCAAACGGGTAGGCAGAAAATGGTAACACTGAGTGATTTTAAAAGGCACATATAAATCAGCATAAAATTATTTAAATAACAAAAAACAGGACAAACAAATAAAAAACCATCTTATGCATAAGGATGTTAATAGAATTTAACTATCCTGTTGTATTTCATCCAAAGGAAAACACCATTTAAACTGCTGTCCTCCAATCAGTTTTTTATGCATAATTTAGTATAGAAAATACAGGAAGTTAATAAACATAAACATCATTGTCAAAACATAGAATAGATCTTGAAAGATCAGATTGAAAACAGGATCACAAAGGATCATAACCACACCCATTTACACACCTGGATGGAGAGGGACATGAATCAAAGTTTGTTGTCTAAGGAAACAGCACAAAGTAAAGCAAGGCCTTTATACTATTTTCCAAGACCACTTCTAAACTCAAGACGGGTAACGAATGTGCGCACCAGTTCCATGAGAAGTGTTTTGGGACACTTCGCTAGAATGAAGCAATGGCCCGAGAAATCAAGCAAACGTTACTAGACCTGATAACAAAGCACAATCGATTGTATAAGTTTACGACCAGAGGAAACCTCAAAACAAACAGCAGGCTGGTAAAAGAAGGAAGAACAAAGGCAAGGACGAGGAAAATGAAAAGGTTGCAGGTTAATATCGACAAGATACTTTCCAGCATTTCTCCCTCATACAGAAGCGGTGGCGTTGTTACTGATCTTGACCTGAACAAGGTACAGCTTCTCCAACTTCGCCAAGTTAAGTGGATTAAAGCCATCCTCAGGAGCGAAAAACTTCCGATCAACGTTACAAGCGAGTGTCTTCAGAACCTGAAGGCAGTTGTGCACAAGGTGATAGCCGAGGATCTCAGCAAAAGCGAGGACGACAGTAGAGGAAGAACAGATGAAGAAAGCAGTGACAACGAGAGCGGTGATGAAGAGGGCAGTGGTGAAGGGAGAAGTGACGAGAGCAGTGATGAAGATTTTGAAGAGCAAGAGATGATGACGGTTGAACAGGCTGAGCTTATGGAACAATATGTAAATGGTGATTTATAAAATAAGCAGAAATATCAAGACAATCCTAACAAACGTATTCAAAATACCAGAAACTTTCACATGGCAGTGTTACATGTATCTATTCAGACTGTTTTGTTTGTTCGTTTGTTTTATCCATTTTACAAACCGTCATAATATTGATACCTATTGTCATGAAAAGAAATAGGACCTCGTGTTTCTTTGTTTGCTTTCTTTCAAGAATATATGTAACAAGTTACAACATAGGAGACCACACTAAGGCATCAGAATTTTAAACAGCAATGAAATAAAAAAAAATCGTACATTTTATTAAAATTGCATTTTAAAAAGGACACAACAGATTTGAGAGTATTTTTAGCAGTAATTTCAGCTGGCTGTGTTTTATATATCAAGACAGTGTGGTCAACTGTCCCGTTAGTATGAAGACTTAAATGTGTGCCCGTCTATGTTATAAAATAGGGTGACCCACCCCCTAAGGGTAGCTGAAAATCGCACGACCCACCCCTTACACAAGGCTCAAAACCTCATGACCCACCCCCTCTCTGCTCCAGCCCACCCCCCCTCCCTATACTTTTTGACCAGTCCCTTAACCTGGACCTCTAGATCTGAAGATTGAGATGTTCACCACGGGCCACCATGCCTCTTGTAAGAAAACGTAACAAGAGAGAAATGATGTCATTTAACAGGGAATAAATATCTTACCTTCACCACCAATTTCAAATGCAGTAGCTTGAGTAATATGAGACATGTTTTGCTGTTTAGTACTGACTGGCTTTATGCCACTTGAAATATCCCCACCACAGCAGACCTGAACTTTACGATCTTCTGGACATTTTAATGGAGGGATCCAGCCATGATCTGCATGCCTGACAAGGTGCAAGATATCTCTTCCCACCGGGGTTTTTAATGATTCAGTTGTAAGCTTAGAGGATACCACCACATCACCAAGCTGTAACTTGGTGACTTCGGGGTTTAACCCCTCACAGCATCCAATATAGAAAACAGCTTTGGGTCTTAGTTCTACCACAGCATTCTTAACAGTGACCAGTGAACCATGTGGAACAGAAGAGCCTTCAAGACATGTCATCAAAGCAACTTTTAGGGGCACATCTCCACTTTCACCCATGTTCCCAAAGTACACGAATCCAAGGTTCTTCTGGTAACTTTTAATGGCATTTCTCAGGTATGTAAAACAGGCTAAGAACTCACAGTCATCCACTGTCAACAAAAGAATGTCAATTGGAAGATGGACTTCATTCCAAGGTTTGAATGTGTTAGGAAGATCACTTTTCTTGGGAAGTTCTAGGGTGAGTGCAGGTGGAACATCTGCCATATTCTTATGAGCACTATCTCCTCTTCCTATTAAGTTCTTGGTGCTGTGCCACGGCGTCTCAATCAACAATTTCCCTAAATGTTAAAAAGTAACATCACAAATTAAATTTAAGTTGCGCAAAATGTCAGAAAGAAAAGAATAAATGATTATTAACAAACATCTCTTCCTCGTACAGATACAGTAAAACCCCGCGTATAAGAACCTGGATTTTTTAATTTAGCCGCGTATAAGAACCTGGATTTTTTAATTTAGCCTTAACAAGTTCTTATATAAATGGTACTTAAAGCAAATTTAGACTACAAAGGTTCTTCAAATAGGTTCTTATATTTTCAAATGAATTTCATTTAAATATATTATAAATATCATCTCATAATATAATCATCTCAAAAATCATTTATACCATACAGTAATGCCTAAAGGCAGTATAGTGCAAGTATGTCCTTAACAAAATGTTGTCAAGTTACTTTTACGTATAATCAGATGATGATCTTAATTCAGCAGTTTCTACCTATACACTTTTACAGAAACTCCACTGATAAGAACCTAACTTAAAATTTTAGCCTTAATAGGTTCTTATGTGGAGGGGGCCTAAAAAGAAAATTTTAGCCTAACAGGTTCTTAAAACCCAGGTTCTTATATGCAGGGTTTTACTGTAAGTTCAGTTAACTCTCCTGTAACTAGTACACACCCTTGCTTGGTAAAGGCATCCACTTAGGGTCATAGAGTACTAAAGTGTGACGTCACAAAAAATTAAATTTGTGAAATTATAGGATTTGTCAAGATATTCTGAAAGAACAAAGTCCAAGACGTCTACTTGACAAAAATTAGCATTTCGGGGCAAATTGTCTCTGATATATTAGCCCAGTTATGCTTTGATGACTCCATAGAAATCCTTCTAAATTTGACTTGGGTCTAAACGTTTAGACCCAAGTCAAATTCAAGAGAACAATTGCATGATGACGTCATTTCACTACAACTACCAGCATCCCTCAGTTTGTTGTTTTCTTGTGCAAATTAGGACTATTGTTTATTAAACCTCAGTGGGATAGAGAAATTTAAATAAGAAAGCAAAAACAAAATGAATTCTGGAAGTTGTAGTCAAATGTTGTCATCGTAAAAATGGCCTATTCCTACCTAACCTACGATCAGGGGGGTTTTTTTGTGGGGGGGGGGGAAGGGAAAAAAAAAAAAAACCCCTGGTATATTTTTTTTAAGGGGGATTTGCCCCCCCCTTATTAAAGGTCCTTTTAAATATTGTTTTATCTTTTATAGTTGTAAAATTTACAAGAAATTAAAACAGTTTTAAACAAAGGAAGCCTTTTTAAAATTTTACAAAAAAAAAAATTTCTGTTTTTTATACACATAGTGGTCTCTACAGTGTTGACCACCTTGTCTTTCGATCGTCAGCTGCTCTCTCTCCTTGTTCTGTTTTTTTTTTTTTTTAAATGTACCGCCGCCCCCGGGAGTTACCCCTCTTCCCCACCGCGCCCCTTTCCGGGCTTGGGGGGGGGGGGAAGGGAAAAAAAAAAAGAACGCCTGATATATTTACTTCACGAGTGATCTGCCACCCCCTAATTAAGGTGACTGTTAACATTTGTGTTATCGTTTATCGTGTCAGATTTTACCGGAAATTCAAGCGGTTTGCAACAAAGGCAGCTATTATAGAAATGTCAATAAAAAACATCTCCGGTTTTTAAAATCCAAGTTAGCACTGCTGTTATTGCGAATCTTGCCTTATCACTACTGTGTGATACCTTTGTTCAAACTGTCAAGTCAAACAAATTATTAATAATTCATTGAGAACAACAGTGGAGCAATAGAATTCTGTATTTTACCGGAAGTGGTCAAAAGTATAGGAATTGATTCTGCGGCAACAAATCTTTCATGGTCTTTCATCAGTTCCCAAAAGGCAGGTTTGAAATCGTCAATAATTATCTTTCTACAAACTCCCACACAGTTGAACTTGATTGGAAATCAAAGAAAACCATTCTACCTGGTACATGAACAAGCAAGAAAGTGTCAAAGAAGAAAAAGCGGATATCCTTGCCTGTGACAAATAACAACTTGTCCTCATCTCAGCTGTCAAGGTTTTTCTCTGTTCATTGTTAAAAGAATTCCTCGATCATCTCATGGTTTCTGTCATGAAGAGACGAGGGTGACTAAACCTATCTAATAGCTCCGGAAGTCATATATGTTGCTTGACCAGTCAGTACAGGGCTCCGAAGGATCTTTCGTTTTTCGACCAATCCAACAAAAGTCCAGATGCTGGACTACGGGCAGACATTGTGTAAATTAAATGTATCAGGTGTCCTTTTCCCCTCATCTCCCAAACACAAAGGGAAGAAAAACAACTGATTGCAGGTAAATTCCCACCAATAAAGCTTCTTGAACATTAACATAAAAACTACTTCTTTTATTGTGAGCATTTTAACTTTCCTATTAAAACTATCAACTTTTTGGCATTTAACTTTTCTGGAAGGAGAAATTAAGTTGGTACGTGAGAATTTAAACATTCAGAAGAAAAAATTCCAGACTGAGCAACTGAACTTGCGAACCAGAATTCATGCCACTTTCAATCTTTACCTTCTAATTGCCCAACATTAGCTAGAAACAAGTCGGACACTCCGATTCTGGAGGTTTTCATCGTCCGCCTTGGATCAAAATTTCAGTGTGAGAGAGAAATTGCAGCAAAACAAGGAAAACATTCCAAAATATACAGAAATAAGTGGACCTTATGTTGCATTTCTGATATGCACTGTGATTATTTAAAGTAAATTCTATGAATAAGTGCTTCTTTGTTTTCTTTACACACCTTGTGACATTCAGACTGCAGAAAATAAGGAAATGGGGGAGTCTCCACGTTCACTTTTGAGATACAGTTGACTCCCGATAACTCGAACCCAAGCAAACTCGAACTTCGCGCTAACTCGAACCAAAATCAATCATGTTTTAAGCACATGACAATTAAAAGAAAAAACAGTCAAGTGCAGTCCAAAATACTTGTGTAATCTTTCTTCTGTTTAAGCTTCTTTTCTTGTCAGTTCAATGCAAATACAATGTTTATGAATGCTGTACTGATTAATCAAGCTTCTTTTTTAAAGTATCAATCTGTACCTCTTGCTGCCCCTTGAAGTCAAAGTGTACCTTATTCTCACTTAATTTTGCAAGTATCAAATGTTACGAAAAAATCAAGAGCCATATTTCATGAGTATTTAATGTCGTGATTTTTAGTGATTTATAGGAATTTCTAGATTTCACGAGCATTAAATTTTGAGATTTTTCCAAAATTGGAAAAATCACAAAATTACTCTCCATGGGTTGCATCTAAGAGTGGACACGAGATAAAAATATGTTCTATTAAATAGGGTGCCAGACATAAAAATAAAAAATCAATTATTTCTAAGCGGCGACTCTATAAAATACAAACATTATTGAAATATGTTATGTAAACTAACATGCTTAAGCAAGAAAGAATATTATTTTTATTATTTTAATGAAAATTTTACTTATGTAAGAAAAACTTGGGAAGGTGTTAGTAGCCTACTGAACAAAAAAGAATAAAAACAAGACCATAAATACTCTTAAAAACTTTGGCAGTAACACAACCATCAACAATAAATCAATAATTTCCAACGTTCTTAATAAACATTTTACAAGTATTGGAACAAAATTAGCTGCAAAGCTCCCAAACTCAGAAAAGCACTTTACTCAATTCCTATCATAAAAACAAATCTCCTTCTTTGTCCTTTCCATTTAAACCAATAACTCCTGATGAAGTCAAATTTGAAATAATGTCAATGGCAGTTAACAAGTCACATGGATTCTATTCTTTTCCGACTTTCATTTTAAAGTATGCGTGTGACAATTATATTAAGGATATTTTAGTTAATATTTTCAATAGGTCATTGGAGTCTGGGAAATACCCATCCACATTTAAAATGGTAAAAGTAATCCAGATCTTTAAAGCTGATGATGAATCAGACCCAAACAACAATTATTATAGACCAATCTCCTTATTATCAAATTTTAATAGAATTTTCGAAAAACTAATGTACACAAGAACAAATTCATTCATAGATAAAGACGGAATTTTGTGTTCTTTGCAAATTATGTGGGTTTAGACAGAAACAGTCAACTGAGCATGCCATATTAGACATTGTTAATAAAATAAAGTCTGATATGGACAAAGATCATTTTTCCTATGGAGTTTTCATTGATCTTCAAAAAGCATTTGACACAGTAAACCAAGACATATTACTCCAAAAATTAGATTACTGTGGATTCCGAGGAATTATAAATGAGTGGTTTTCTTCTTACTTAAGACAAAGAACACAAGTTACTATCATAGAATCCCAGACCTCTGACTCTTCAAGAGTTAATTGCGGTGTCCCACAGGGTTCTGTGCTAGGCCCGCTACTCTTTCTCTTGTCCATTAATTAATGATATTAATTTTGTTCCTGCTCTTCAAGACTCCGCTTCTATCTTTTTGCAGATGACACAAATTTACTCTATTCACATAAAAACCTTAAAACTCTAAAAAAAATAGTAAATGATGAGTTGGCAAATGTTTACAATTAGCTTAACCTCAGAAAAACTTAGCTTAAACCTTAAAAAATCTAACTTTGTTATTTTTTACCCATACCAAAAGAAACTCCCCTTTACACCTAAATTGTACATATACGATCCTAATACTAATAAACATAAACAATTAGAGTGTAGAGAGTTTGTTAAATATTTAGGGGTTCTGATAGACAACAAACTTACTTGGAATAATCACACTGACACAATTCTTTTAAAAATCAGTAGAACTGTTAGGCTATTATCGAAACTGTGACATTTCGTTCCCTTTAGCACATTTATTTCCATTTATCACTCTCCGATAGCACCCTATCTTCGATATGGTCTAATTGCATGGGGTCAAGCAAGCAAATCACAACCAAACAAACTTCTAGTCCTTCAGAAACGCGCTCTTCGCTTTATTCACTTTGCTAAACCGCGAGATCATGCCATTCCTCTCTTTATCAATACAAAAATATTACCAATTAACTTTCTCTATAATTTATCAGCTACTGGCAGAA